AAAGATGGGGAACGAGCAACTGCCTCCCTCACCTTAATCTCCAGTACTGCCATCTCCAGAGGTCCCTCCTGAGAGTTGAGATAGGAGTCTGTCTTTTAGGCCAACAATCTATCTCTAGAAACCTTATTTATAAATTCAAGATTGTGTATTATAAGAGTTACAATCAATCTAGTATTTGGGAGGGGGTTTTCAGTATCATAAGTTTCTTAGAGAGAAAAGGGAGTCTAAGGGAAGGGAGTATTACTACAATAAGGGTTATGTATTAATACTGGAGCAAGAGGTTCAATGCCTCCATTGGTCAGCCAGGTAGGGACTGTGGGAGAGTTGTGAGGGGAGTTTTCCACCCAGTAGTTAGGGGACCTGGAACAGCCAGCTGGTCAATCAGAAGTGAGTCTGCTACCACCTTCCTCACAAATGCAAGCCCCCACCACATGCCATTTTTGCATTGGCACTGTACTTGAAAACCAGGTGGCTGAACACAGCTACAGAATTTGCTGCAGCCTCACTGCTTACGCTCAGGGGAGCCCACAGGTCTTCAGCTTGAGGCAGAATTTTAATGGTCCAATAAATGACATAGTTAAAAAAAAAAGCGCACAGTGCCCTATAATATTAAACTAGAAAAATCAACATAAACACATGACTTTGAAGGGATTCCTCAGATAGCAGTTGATTCTATATCTAAAAGCAGGAATACTAAGAATAGGACAAGAAGACCTGATTGTGTCCACAAGGCCACAAGACAAATATATTTCAAAGAATATCAAGGACTGTGCTACAAGGACAGAAGGGTTACCAGGTCTAACTGACCAACTGAAACAATCTTGTCTTTTCAGGAGGTATCGTCCAGACATGGTAGTGTAGGCCTGTAATCCCAGCACTCAGACGGCTAAGGTAGGAGCATTGTGAGTTCAAATTCAGTCTGAGCTATTCAGTGAGACCACGCCACAAGCAATGAAGAAGATATCAATCTTGGTTAAGTCTTAAAATGCCAGGACTTCAAAACTGATCAGCAGAGTATAGGACAGAGTGTACAAAAGTAAAGTTGATAGCAGAGACACAATAGTTCATGCACAACTATTTGCTTTGATTTTTATTTAAAAGGGAAGTGCTGCTAGAACATAAGCATTTTGTTCTTTTTTTATACTACATATACTGTAGGAAACAATAAATACCAGGAACTCAGAGTAAGCAAAAAAATCCCTCCCAAAACATAGGAAGTGTCCCAAGGTAAGAAGGGACTGCAGAGCACAGGTGGTGACAGAAATAGGGAGAAGGAAAGGCACCCAACACCAATGTACACCCTGAACAGTCAAGCAGAGAGGACCCAGGAATCCGATCTGAGAAGATAAATCAACAGCAGGCGGAAGAACACTGAAATGTCTCTCCCTTGTCTCCTAGGAGATGGGAGTTTCTAGAAATTCCAACTGTAATTTTAGGAAGAAAATGAAGGAGTACATAAGTTTTTAATAATGTTAATAGGTCAGGCTAATACATCACTGTGACAGGACAATGGGTTGGTATAACACTGGCCAAGTGAAACTGAGGAAGTCAGTCACTGTAGGGTAATGGGGAGAGGGGTAGATGCAGTAAATGAAAATCTACCTGAAAATCATGGACCTAGGAATGAAAAAAAAAAATGACTGAGTTAACAAGTAAAGTTTAGCTTGATGCTGACGGCCAGGCTCTGACTTAGTAAGAGCCCCAAACGGGGCTGTGTTCAATATGGAAAAAGCCAGAAACCTAACGTGAAGGGGTGCTCTTTTGTTTCAGGTGATGCTAAAATCATGTGACCTCTGGGTATAGCAGCTGAGGGCAAGTCACAATTAGCATGTAAATAATGAAGGCACAAGTGAAACTTGTGGTCTGGATCTTTCAGAATAGTTTTCAGTGTGGTAAGCCTGAAAACTGCATCTGGCCACTTCATCTGCTCTGAAGGTAAATGAAGGAAATCACAGTTTTAACAATCACATACTTGTTTGAATTATTTAGACATATCCAATCTTATAACTGTTTAAACATTTAACAGTTATTTGATGTCGTTTATGTCTTTTATAAACAGAGCATGCGCGCGCGCACACACACACACACACACACACACACACACACAGTGTTTTTCTTTGTGCATAAAAAGGCCTCCAGACATTAAAAAAAATGTGTAGGAACTTAGCTAGGTTTCCTAACTGATTCCTTTTCATTGCATGGGCTTCAGAGCGCTCCAAAAGAAGCCACGAAATGAAAACATGCCCTATACAATTTTTAAGTCCAAAGCCACAAAAATAGTAACAGTGGTTTTTGCGTGGTTTTGATAGTGGGTGTTTTAGCCTTTCCTTTAACATTCTTTCTAAATTTTCCAGGGTTTTTTTCCCCTTACAATGAGCATATGCTACTTTTTTTTTTTTTTTTTTTTAATATCTTAAAAAGAGCATTTTCTTCTTTTTTTTTTTTTTTTTTTGAATAGGAAAAAAAGATAAATCTTTCCTTGGAAAAAGATGAGGCCACCCACCATGAAGGTCTCTCTGAATTAGGCAAGCTTGAAAATTCCAAGTTAAATTGGTAAGGGATCAATTAATGACAAGCAATGAGGTTGGGGTAAAAATTCAGATGAAGAGGGGAGTGGCAGGCAGGAGGAAAAGTAAGGGCAGGGCCCAGGGGATGTTTGGTTGTTAAGCCCACATGAGATAGAGACAGGTTTGGTCAGGGACAAAAGCTAAATTTGTAGATGAGTCAAGTCCACAGGCTGGGGCAGGAGGAAGGCAGTGTCTGGCAAGCAAAACTCCCTGGAGTGACTTCCCTCCTAGCTCCTGAGCTATAATCAAAATCTCTGACCTGCTTAATTTCCTGCCAGGTAATGACAACTCTGCAATAGCCATGCTGTGGGAGATAGAGCCAGGATAACACAGCCCAAGACATGTCTGCTCAGTTCCAGCATCACTTCTAACTATGAGGGCAAGCTCACAGCACTCATTAAAACACTCTGCTCCACAGCTTCCAAATGTGTCTTGACCAACAAAGCAGGATACCAGCCTCTGGGGAGTGACTGTCTACATTCTAAACCATAGCAGAAAAAAATTTCACAGCAAAGCCTCAGCTCCTGCCTGAGAGGCAGACACACAGTATGCTGGAAAGAGAAAAGTGAGGAAATTCTCCCATGGAAGAATGTGGTCAGATGTGGAGTGACATGACCCAATACACATCCTCTCTGGGATGTCAAACATCCATGAGTGACTGAGAATCATAAACCCAGACCATTGCATCATCATTTGTACAGAAGCGGCAATAATAAGCAAGACATGGCTTGTTCTTTGTTTTCTAAACTGTTCGAGCCATTGTTAAAGGCTTGAACATACATTTGTGAAGCTGTGTGCCATTCTATGCAACTTCTCAGGAGCAATGATACCACCAGAAAGGAACTTAGCACACCATTCCTTTGTAAGCCAGAGAACACTAATGGCCCAGGTGTCCACTTCAGAAAATCAATTTAAGCTTACCAAAGTCGCCTAGGAGCATGCTATGGATTTGGAGATTAGCACTGTGATGCAGAGATTTAATGATGGCTGGCTTAGCAGGTCACAAAAAAATACTAACTTACAGTGTTAAGTGGTTGTCCTGAGCTTTGGCAAATATTTGCTGAAGAACACTAGGCAGCACAGTTGAAAGTATTTCTCAGAATAAATGCTTACACATGGAGCTTTAAGGAAACTTATCAGTATAATGATCCTTTAGCCACTTAGGAGGAGGCAGGCCTAGGGCTGGGATCTCCCTCACCACATTAGAAATTATACCTTATTCTATTTGTTAATCTATTTTTGTAAGTTCTAAGTTATTATAAGAAAAACATATAGGCCTGGCATAATGGCATATACCTATAGTCCCAGTACTTGGGAAACTGATGCAGGAGGACAGAGAGTTTGAGGTTAGTCTGGGCTGCATAGTAAGATCCTGTTTTGTTTTGTTTTTTTTTTTAAAGTAAAGAAAAGAAGAAAAGAGAAAGAGGTTGATGAGATGGCTCAGCAGGTAAAGCCACTTACTACTAAGTCTGATGACTTGAATAGGATTCATGGTTTTCATGTGGTGGAAGGAGAGACCCAAGCCTATTGTTCTTAAAGCTCTACACATGTGCCGTGGCATGTGCGCTCACTGCCTACTCTCCCATTAAATAAATAAATGTATTTTTTTTTATTTAAAAAAGCAAAAGAACCCACACAGCAAAACCACCTCCATTTGGTCTATATTTTCACCAGCTGTCATATTCTACAGCAGTCTCAAAAGTGCTGGCTGGGGGAAAGTCAAATCATATGACACAATCAAAAGTCTCTAGAAGACTAGCTTTGTAATGAATTATTACAGAGACTTTTTCCTTTACAGAAGAAAAGAGCCAGGAAGAAGTTAATATAAACCCCAAGGCAGAGTATTCTGCCAGGAAAATGACTTCTAGTGATATAAACACAAGGCAGATGTCAGAAAAGGAATTTAAATTTTCATTACATATGAAGTATTTCAACCTTCACCTGTGTGCATACAAGAACTACACACTGGATTTTCACAATTATCTTTGTTACCATCTAAAAATCACTTATTGATAGTCTTTGAATTAGCAATGGATTGAATCATTGATAATTTTAAGAATCATCAAAGCAAAATCACAATGAGTCGCTCATTTGACATGTTTTAGCTACAAATTACCCCCCAATTCAAGAATGCAGTAGCACATTGCTATTGGGTCTTTGAGGCTTCAATTTAAATTCTCTATTTAAAGTATGTATTTTATTCATTTTTCTGGTTTTATACTTTGAATTTATATTAAAGACTTCAGAACAGTATTTTTTTTTAGGTTCAAGGACAGCAATTATTTTCAATTCTATACAGCAAATTCAAAACTGAATCTAATTTTAAAAAGATCTTGAGACTATTAAAGCCACTTAAGATCTTTTAAAACTGAAGTTGTAGCTTAATTTAAATCTTCTTCCTATGAAGTCTGTTAGTTGAATTTTTTTTCCCACCTTAGTGCGTGAATGCAATAGATCATTCTTGGTATGTTTTTCCGATCGTAGACATCTGTTGTTTCTGGATAAAATATCTGGAAAATAAAAGGGACAATGTATTTACTATGTTTCACTTCTTGTAATTATCTAACTCCCCACACAATCATACCCTGCTTATTTGCTGTTCTAGAATTAGTTAATGTAGAGGACTCTCCCAGTGGTTGCTTTCTGGTGTTCTGCAGAACAGTCTTCACACCTAAGCACTTGTCTGGTGGATGTCATGCCCCTTTGGTTAACAGGACAGTGGTAAGATTTACAAACAGCCTTTCCAGAAGGCTGGGCAGTATGGGGCTGCAGTGCTCCACTCTGTGCTCCTACTCTGGTGACTTCCAGAGGTCTCATGAGCCTGAGAAGGGGACCTTTTTATAGCCACTTTATTACAGTGTTAAAAACTTATATTTCTGTAAACCTGAGTACATGTATAATATAATCCATGTACACATATGCTGGACTGGTTTGAATGAGAGTGTCCCCAATAGGTTCCAAGTATTTGAACATTTTGTCCCCAGTTGGTAGTACTGTTTTGGGAGGCTTTAGGAGGTGTGGCCATGCCTGAGTTCTTAAGCTCTGCTTCCCAAGCCTGCTTGAAGATGAGAACTCTGCTCTTTCTGCTCCTGCTCAGGTCACCTCCTGCCACCATGCCTCCCTGCCTTGATGGACTCTGATTCCTCTGGAATTGTAAGCTCAAATAAACTCTTCCTGTGATAAGTTCCTTTGGACATGGTATTTTATCACACCAACAGAAAAGGAACTAATACATTTGCAAATATTTTTTTCTGCTTAAAGTGATACATTCTTACCAAATAAAGTCTAGAAAGTATATAAAGTATAAAAGAAAAACTGTAATCCCATCTTCTAGACTGTTACTAACTACTGGCATTCTGGTATTGCTTTGCTTGTCTTTTCTGTATGTAATATCTGGATTTTTAAAAAATCCATATGTGAAAACAAAAGTACACAGAGTATAAAGCTGCTTAAAAGACTTAATAGATGATTATTTTCCATCCTTTCGATTACTCCATAAAAACATCACATCTAATGAATGCAAATAATTCTTTCACAATTTTGAACCATGGCTTAACCATTCCCCATGGCTGAGCATGTTTGCTCCCAGTTCTTACTCCATCCAAATCACTACAATGATCAGCCCTGCATTTTCTGAGCATCTGATTCTTCTTCCGGATGACCAATCAAATACAGAATTACTAGATTGGATGATCTGAGCAAAAACTTTTGTTTTGTTTTTAAGACAGGGTCTCCCTGTAGCCCCAGCTGGCCTGGAAGTCATTTTGTCAACCACACTAGCCTCAATCTCACAGAGAACTGCTTGCCTCTGCCTCCCAAGTGCTGGGATTAAAGGCATGTGCCACCATGCTGGGCAAGGCTTTTAAATATATCTACACTGCATTTTCCTAAGTTTGGAACTAAAAGCCTAACAAGAAACAGATTTCAGAGTGGGGCACCAAACTTCTCTATTCCTGAGCATGAAAAAAAAAGTGAGTAATTGGGCTCCAAGCTCCTAATATTAAGATAAGCACATCAGTATCACTTGCTTTCAGTAAATATTTTATATAACTTGACATAAAACCAAAATTAAATCATGTACCATATGGTAGTACTTGATACTCAAGTGCAATTTTTCTATTGGACACTGAAAAAAAGCAGAGAAAAGAAACATTTCTCAAGCTAACAATGTATTGTAGTTGTTTATGCACTTAGATGTCTACAGCCTGGGAAGTCTCCAAGCCCTTTCCAGTTTTCTTGTGACACATTTGCTGTCAAGGTGTCAGTGAGAAGAGGCCCCTTGATTCAGAAGACTGTGGCCAGGTTTAAAGCATAGAACACCACCAGCTATCACCTCACACTTCAAGTATTGTTGGCCAACTCTCCCCAACCCTTTTCTCTCACACAGAAACCTTCGTCTATATTTATATTTCTCCTGGAAAATCTCGGCCTTAATGTACTGAGAAGATGGGATCAAGTCAGAGTTCATCAGACTGTTGCATGTACATCTCCAGCACTTCACATGATGCCAAGCACAGAATGAGCATTTAATATCAATAAATGAAGGAATTCACAGCAGTTGCATAGGAAGTCAGCTTGCGCACTGTCAGTTTTTGCTCTTGCAATGTAGTCTGTTAAAGACTTCATGATGAAAGTCAATGTAAAAATAGAATCTACCATATAGATCATGTTTGGCCCACTAAACACATAATTTGAAAAGCTTTAAATCAAATCTTATCATGTACCATGAAATTATCCAAAATAGAAATTAGAACTTTCTAAGTCATAATTCATGAATTCTGTGTGGCGACAGTAAGTGTTCAGAAAGGAGCAACATTTAATGTTCTAAGGGACTAGTCAGATTGAAAATGGAAGAATGAATTAAATGTTGATGACTTTGAGGAAAATGAGACTGAGATAAAACAGCCATGAGCACAAAGGTATTGAAAACATGCATTTGTGATGTATATTAGTCTTGCGTTGTGTTGTAGTGTTTTGGGGACTCAAACCCAGGATCTCACATGCTAGGCCAGTGCTCTACCAGTACATCCCACTGAGCTACATCCAAGCCCATGTGATGGGTATTTTTTAAATAGCAAACCTGGTGTGATAAGACAACACTACAGTTCTTTGCAAGTCAGTTTATCCTCTTGTTCTCAAGATGGGCCTCTCAATCATTTCTTTAAAGAGGCTATACGTACTAAGCAATGCAAAGGACTGAGCCATTGACACAAATGAGTAGATGTGACAGATCTCTTCTACAACATATTTAGTGGAAAAAAGTCAATCCCAAAGGTTCCTTACCATGTGATTCCAATAATACATCATTCTCAAAATGACAAAATGGTAATGATGGCTGCCAGGGACAACTTGGGGAGGGATACAAAGTAAAAGTCTGTTTCTCTATGGTGACTGTATCTGTATTATGGTGGGGAGCACAGAAATGCATTTGTAGAGGACAGCAAGCTCATGCTTTTGCAAACTAATACACTTGAAAATAGTAAAAACTGAGTAAGACCAGTGGCCTAGTTTACACTCACATCCTAATGGCAGCTGGTTCATGCCAGTAATCCCAGCATGTAGAAGGCTGAGGTGCGAGTATTAGAACGTCTGAGCCAGTGAAGCCCAGGCCACCCTGAGCTATATAGAGACCTTGAAAAACAAACAAACAAGAAAACATGCCCCCCAAACACTCCAATTTCAATCTAATATTGTATTAACTGCATTTATAAAATGTCAGTATTGAGGGAAGCTGAAGGATACATAGAGATATGCTATTTCTGCAAGTTCCTGTAATTCTATAATTCTTTCAAAATAAGAAGTAGCTCTAGAGTTTTCACCAAATGCAATTTCCTCATTTCCCCTATGTGTCTATTTCTTATCTGTTTGAATTTAACATGTGCTGAATACTTACTGATTTTATTTGGGAGATCTATTTCAGGAGTAAGAGCTACAAGCCCCTAACCTTTAAAATATAAAGTGACATTATGATTTACAATACTTATAAAAATAAATATATAGGCCAGGGAAATGGCTTATCAGATAAAAGTGCTAGCTTTGCAAACCTGATGACTAGGATCTGATCTCCAGAAACCACATAAGAGGCCAGATGCAGTGGCACACATCTGTAATCCCAGCACTCTTACACTGAGATGGGAGGAGGAGACAGGAGAATTGTCTGGAAGCTCACAGACCAGGTAGCCTGGAGTCTGCAGAGAGCCTCAGAAACAAGAAAGACCTTGCTTCAGGGCTGGAGAGATGGCTCGGCAGTTAAGCACACTGACTGTTCTTGCAGAAGATCCGGGTTCGAATCCCAGTACCCACATGGCAGCTAACAACTGTCCATAACCCAGTTCCAGGGGATCTGACAGCCTCTTCTGTCCTCCGTGGGCATTGCACGACAAGGGTGCACTTACCTACATGCAGACATAACACTCTCTCTCTCTCTCTCTCTCTCTATATATATATATAAAAGACCTTGCTTCAACAAGGTAGAATGCAAGAACTGACTCCCCAAAATTTTCCTCTCACCTCCACACATACACCCTGGCATGGGCATTCCCTTGAACCTGCACCATGCATGTGCTCACCCACACATACACATTAAATAAATAAATAAAATTACAAAAAGTACACTGATTTATAAAAAGAAAACTGAGGGGTTTGAGAGACTGCTCAGAAGTTAAGAGCAGTATTGCTCTTCCAGAGGACCCTGGTTTGGTTCCCAGCACCCATGCAGTAGCTGATAACAATTTATAACTCCAGTTCCAGGGGGATCCAACACCCTCTTCTGGACTTTTTGGGCACTGCATGCACGTGGTGCACTCATAAACCAGACAAAAAACTCATACACATAAAATAAATAAATCTTTTAAAACTTAAATAAAAAGCAAGTTGACTATCTTAATGATTGGCTAAAGCTGCTTCTGATCTTGTTTAATATATATACACTGTCTCTTGCCTGTTCTCAAGCTATGCCCCCACTTCACTATGAATTCCTGTCATATATATCTTATACAAGCCTTTCCACAGTTTTATTTGGTTGTCAGATTTCTCAAGCCTGCATTAATATTTCTCAGCATGCCAAAACACATTTCATAATAAGGTACTGGGCACTGCCTTTTTATCTTCCGAGTTTAGGATCCATTATATGAAAGCTTACCTTGGGTAGCCCGATGGCCTCCATGGCTCTTAACCATTGGACAGTATTATCTGTGTGTCGAAAATGAAGGCCGGATTTCTAATGTGAGGATAGGAGAAAGAAAGAAGGAAATATAAGATTACATAAAAAGTGAGAGCCAGGGGCTCCTCCCAAGCCCATGTGACCCCTGAGGAACAGATCCTCAAACGACCTTAAGGGTAAAAATAAATTGGTTTATCTAGGCCAACTGTATGGCCTTAAACACCCAAAAGGAAAGTATAACCAAAGAGTAAAGGATAATTTTTTGAGAGTCCATATATATAGCTAAAGGCTACATAACAAGCAACAATGCCAGGTAGGAGATACCTTCTTCTGAGTTGTTGGCCAGGGTGGCTCAAGGGACTTCCAGGTAGTAACCCAGCATAGAATTAGGAAAATGAACAACAGACCCCAATCTTATCTAAAGGAGTATTGACAACTGATTGTTGCTAGATGAGGAACAGCTGACCTTCCTAAAACAAAGACCTCTAGATAGGCTGACTAGATTCACCAGATGGACAAGTAGTGGGGAATGGCTGCGGGTGCCAACAACACAGCAGACAGTAGCAGGGATATCAGAGTATAAAGGTTCTAGGGGGAGGGAGGCTATGGGATGGTGCCACCTGGGAAGTGGGTGTATAGTTGAATAAGATGGTTTGGGATGTTCTGTATGATACACACACACACACACACACACACACACACACACACAAAC